TGGTAGAAAATTCCAATTTATGGATAAATATAATTGAGAAGGAAATTTAAGTTCATTCAACACTATAAATTACAAAGTGTTTGTCACATAAGTTATTTTTCCATTTAGTAATAAAGACTTGTATTTTAAACTCCATTTGTTACAGCAATTGAAGGACTAATTAAGAAGTAGTGTAGCATAGTATTGAAGAATGCTGACTCAGGGCTGGGGATATACCTGCATGGTAGGATGTTTTGCTGGCTTGCCTAGCATGCACAAGGCCCTGGGTTCAACACATAGCACCACACACACACACACACACACACACACACACACACACACAAAGTTAAAAAGCTCAGTATCAAGTTGCTGAGAAAATACAGTAATTCTTGGGCAGCCTGGTATATAAAAACCATTGAATAAATGTTAACAGCTGTTATTCAAGGACACAGACTACATCATAAGTAACTCTTTTCTTGGGCCCAAAGCTTATTTTAATACAGCATTTCATCCAGTGCTTTATTTTCTGATTGGATAAACTGGGAACACATTTTAAATAAGGAAAGGGAAGATGAATATTTGTTAGAATTTTGGTAAGTTTTTTTTTTTTTAGAAGTAAGACTTTAATTGGGCCACTACAATAAAATATCTTACACTGAGGCATTTATAAACAATTCAGAACTTGCTCTTTTTGAGGCTAAGAAGTCCGAGATCCAGGTGCCAGCCTATTCGATATCTAGTAAAGGCCTATTTCTTGTACATGGCACCTTCTGGCTCCATGCTCATGTAGTGGAAGGCAGTAACGCACCTACCTTCAACCTCTTTTATGAGGACGTACATCCCATTCATGATTGCTCTTAATCTCTTCCCCAAAACCTCACTTCCAACTACCTCCAGTATGATATTACCATCTCTTTGTGTGTCTGTGTGTGTGGTGCTGGAGTTGAAACTCAGGGCATGGCACATGCTAGGCAAGCCCTCTACCACTTAGTTACATCTCCATCCCCTCGTATCTTAATAGTACCATATCAGGTATTAGGGTCCAACTTAAGAATACCGGGGAGTAGGAGCTGGAGATTTAGCTCAGCAGCACAGCGCCTGCCTGGCAAGCGTGAGGTCGTGAGTTTGGTTCCTGGTACCAGAAAAAAAAAAAAAAAACAAACAAACAAACAAAAAAAGAACCAATAATATTGGGGAGATACCAACATTCAGACTTCAGACTGAAGAAACAAAAAAATGGTAATATGTTTTTTAGTTATAGTATGGTATGTACATTTCTGAAAATTTTCACTTTTCTTAAATGGTTCAATTAAAATAAAAACCTAAAGAAATAGTAGGTCTGGGAATGACCCACTAAAACCTAAAAAACTGAGCAGTAGTTATCAATCTTTGCTGCTTCTTTTTCTCACCTGGTGATCTTTAAAGCTACTGTTGCTGCCTAGATCCCCTACACAGACATTCTGAGTAAAACTGTGAGGGGAGAGACTGAGCTTCAAGATTGTGAACATCCTAGGTGACTAATATATAGCAAAGTTTAGGGACCACTGAACTGTGGCATTAACAGAGACAATAATGATCCAAATGGAGAAACAAGCTTGTTGAAAAGCACATACAAAATTGCTAACAAATAATGAAATACTGACAATTTACAAAGTTTTACGTTTCAAAAAAGTTGACAAGCTTAAAGAAAAAAAACTTTACGGAGAAAGGCACAGTGGTTCATGCCTGTAATTCCAGGTGCCTGCGAGGCAAAGAAAGGAAAATTACAACTTGAAAGCCACTCTGAGAAACTTAGCAGGATGCTGTCTCAAAAATAGAAAAATAAAGTAAAAAGGGCTGGGGTTGTAGCTTAGCACTTTCTGAGTTCCATCCCCAATGTTTTCCTCCAAAAATGACAGTTTGTGGAAGGGTAGATACTGATGAGTGACGGAAGGAAGTGTAGAAGAACACCACCATCGGATGTGGTAGGTAGAGAAGTAGTTGCAAACTAAGAAATGTAGAGGTTCTAGGGATGAATAGCTGATTCACTGATGTTGCTTTTTCACAAAGATCTAGGAAAGCTACAGAATAAGTCCTCCCACATGACTGAGTCAAGGGCATGGAAGAATGAGGTGCTGCTCAGTGAGAAGACATCATCTGAGTGCTGTTTTTATCTAGGCCTTGTGCAATCATGGATTCAACTAAATTACTTGTCCTTTACCTGTAATGCATCACAAGACATTCAAATACTACAAAACATTATATATGATCCAACTAACATTCCCTGTTATTCAAATATTACTCCCTTCTTAACAGTAACATGTGAACTGATTTGTATTGTAAGCAGACTGTGTTAATATTTCACTGAAAATCAAGATTAAATAGAGGTAACATGCTGCTATTTTGCTTATCTATGCCTGTGGTTCATATTTTTTTTTCACATCAGCTAATTTTGGGGGTAGGCAGTTGTTACAATTCTGACTTTGCCTTAGCTTGCTGCTTGAATTCATATGACGTGGGGCAGTTTTAATTAAGTAGCATGAAAAAAAATGAGAGCACACTTGAAGATTTTCATATTTTTAAATAAATTACCATGAGTGTGTTATCATTACAGCAAAGCAGATAAAGGAATATTACTTT